GTCATGACGGCACTGGACTGCAACCAGATATAGTGTCATAAAGTATTGACGAGTATATACTTATATTGTATGTGAGTGCTTTGTATATGTTCTGTTTTGTTATTAAATCTGTGTAGTTAACAGTTGGGTTGCCCTTGTCCTAGTGAGGCTTCACAGAAAGTAGAAGAGAGAGAGAGAGAGAGAGAGAGAGAGAGAGAGAGAGAGAGAGAGAGAGAGAGAGAGAGAGAGAGAGAGAGAGAGAGAGAGAGAGAGAGAGAGAGAGAGATCCATAGCTGTGGACAGGGTAGTACAGAGTAATATTTCAGAATAGGGGATTGAGATCATACCAAATAAGAAGAGAGTGGGGAGTCACAGCGGCTCGAGTGGGTGTGTGCACGTGACAACGAGGTCAGTATTGGAGCCGCACCCCCTAAACGTGTGACGTTGAACCTCTCTCCAAGTGCCAGAAGCGCACAGGGCGATCTCCTGATAAAAGTATAAGCACTTTACGGAATTTTTGGGTTGGTTGTCCGTAAGGAAGGACGGATAGCAGACCGACGACAACAACAATAACTAGGTAAGCACAATAGATAGGCAGGCTGGCAGGCTGGCAGGCTGGCAGGCTGGCAGGCACACTGGCAGGCAGGCAGGCAGGCAGGCAGGCAGGCAGGCAGGCTCGTGTTACCTCTCTTCACCTTTAAGCTTGTTACAGGAGCTCCTCAATAATCCACCTTGCTGTACCCGGGTCTTGTGAGTGAGGGTCCTGCGCCCGGGCCCTCTCCCGCCCTCCACCGTCCCCCACCCGCTGTCCCCTGCTGCTGCTGCTGCTGCTGTTGTTGCTGTTGCTGCTGTTGTTGTTGCTGTTGTTGTTGCTGTTGTTGTTTCTGCTGTTGTTGTTGCTGCTGTTGTTGTTTCTGCTGTTGTTGTTGCTGCTGGTGTTGATATTCTGCTGCAATTGTTCTTGTTGCTGTTCTTGTTGCTTCTGATGTAGCTGCTAGTGATGCTGCTCCTGCTGCTGTCTCTGTTGCTACTGCTAATAATAATGCAGATAATGACAATGGTGATGACGTGTTCTGAGAAGACGATGAACAATAATGACAGACGATGAACAATAATGACAGATGTCTTGATTTGTTCTCTCACCCCTTTTGTATCCATGGAAGAGAACGGGAAGGTTGGGTGGGGATGAGTTGGAGACGTGAGAGGTGTTAGAGAAGGATGGGAGTGCAGGGTGGGAGAGGTGTTGGAGAAGGGTGGGAGTGCAGGGTGAGAGTGCAGGGTGGGAGAAAGGTGGGAGTTCAGGGTGGGAGAGGTGTTGGATGAGGGTGGGAGAGAGGAATCTATGAACGAATATATCTTAGTGGAATTCCCCAGAAATGTAAGGTTACTGAGGGAAGCCTGAAGAGTGGTCTTTCCCTAGACCCAATCTACACAGACAACACAACTGACTTTACTCTCCAAACACTAGCATGACTTCAGCTAAGAGAAATTCTGCTTGCCAAATTGATTAAGAGTCTTACATAACGTTGACGGATATCAAACGAAGGATGGACTTCCTCCATTCCATCACTTCTACCAGCCTTCCCACCTCCCAGCCTCTCCCCTTCCGTCTGTCTTCACAGTCTTCCAATTCCACCGTCCCCTTCCCATCCTCCCCCCCTTCCCCCACGTCTTGTGCTCCTCGCGTCATTCCCTGCTAAAGCACTTCCTTTCACGTCTCTGGATCATCGTCCAATTAACCCGAGCGACACACACGCGACAAGTCTCGTTACAGCCCAGGTGAGAAATACACCTCTTTGATGCTCCTCCTCCAGCGTCTCCTCCTTCTCCTCCAGTCCCTTCTCCACCAGCTCATCCCCTTCCTACTCCTCCTCCTCCTTCTCCTCCTCCTCCTCCACCAGCGCCTCCTGGTGGGAGGCTCTTGGGGGCGCAGGAGGAGAGCGCCACCCGGGCCGGTCGGTCTCTCAAGCGGCTCTCTGGAGGTTCGATGGTGCTTGTGAGCCGGCAAGTGTTTCAACAACTTGTAGGGGCACCCGAGGCTTAGAGAACTGCCCCTCCAGGGCCTGGAGGGCGGCGTGATTTGATGTCGTGGGAGTGTCGATGGGTAATTAAACACCTGGATAATACCCAGGGCCGGTGATTTAGAATGAATACCTGCCAGATGAGGTGATGTGTGTGTGTGTGTGTGTGTGTGTGTGTGTGTGTGTGTGTGTGTGAGAGTGTTGTGTATTCACCTAGTTGTGCTTGCAGGGATTGAGCTTCGGCTCTTTGGTCCCGCCTCTCAACAGTCAATCAACTGGTGTACAGATTCCTAAGCCTACTAGGTTCAATCATAATTACACTTGAAACTGTGTATGGAGTCAGCCTCTACCACATCACTTCCTAATGCATTCCATCTGTTAACACTAAAAAGAAAGTTCTTTCTAATATCTTTATGGCTCATTTGGGCACTCAATTTCCACCTGTGTCCCCCTAGTGTGCGTGCCCCTGTGTTAAATAAACTGTCATTATCTACCCTATCAGTTCCTCTGAGAATCTTGTATGTGGTGATCATGTCCCCCCCTAACTTTTCTGTCTTCCAGCGACGTGAGGTTTAACTCTTGTATTCATTCCTCGTACTTCATACCCCTCAGTTTGGGCACTAATCTGTTGGCAAACCTCTGAATCTTCTCTAATTTAATCTTATGCTTGGCGAGATATGGACTCCATGCTGGAGCTGCATACTCCAGAATTGGTCTGACAAATGTGGTATACAAGGTTCAGAATGATTCCTTACGCAAGTTTTTAAAGGCCATTTTTATGTTGGCCAACCTGGCATATGCCGCTGATGATATCGCCTTGATTTGGGCTTCGGGGGACATGTAGTTTGTGTGTGTGTGTGCGAGCGTGTGTGCGTGTGTTGAGTGCATGCGTGCGTGTGTGCTGTGGGTGCGTGCGTGTGCGCGCGAAGTCGTGGGCGGTCAACATCACTAGCGTTGGTGTGTATCGGGATAGTAGTGGGGGAGGAGATAACGGTGAGAGAGAATGGAAGGGAGAGGAGACGAGGACAAGGGAGGGGAAGGAAGGCGGGATGGCATGGGGCCGCTCACTCGGTATTAAAGACTCTACCATTGTGCTTTGTGTCTGAAAGCGCTTTTCGTGTCGAGCGGACAATTTTTGTGGTAATGGCCTGAGAGTACACGCTCCCTCAGCCTCCAGTGTAAGGATCGTGTAGCAGCAGTGCTTAACGATGGCGGGTGAGACAATATTTCACCTTGCTGAAGAACCTTACTCTTGTAAACTGAAGTTTATTGACTTCCTTCCCATCTCCTTATTCAGGTTGGCATTAGCATCTTGCAGAGGAGGTCGTGGTGGGCCTGGTGCAGCCAAGGGACCTCCGCAGCCTGGCCACAACCCGTATATGGCTGCTGTGTTTATCTGTCGTGGCTCCTGTGTTTTCTTCTCCTGACGGCCCGAGCTGGACCTCGGCAGCGGGACACGTGTTTCCAGTCACTTTCTTAAGGGCAGCGTGGCTAGTGTAAACACTGGATACAGTGCCTGGAACGTGGAGTATCTACTATTGAAGAGGAACGGAGAGGAAACATCTTAGAACGCTTGTAACACCTTTGATAAGCCCTTTGTAATTTCTTAGATTTTTTCATGGTACCTGGGGAGTGTGTGTGTGTGGGGGGGGGGGGAGAGGAGGGAAGAGAGCGAGGTGCTGCTCTTTGTTAGGCTTCTTCTGTGGTGCCTGGCGCTGAATGTGACTCAACACAGGGCTTAATGAAGATACTTCTGAAGTATACTGCTCTACAGCTCGGTGAAGATATCCCCCCCTGAAAAATGGTGTCCACAACTTGATGAAAAACTCCCCAAAGTATACTGCCTCGCAGCTTGTTGAAGCTCCCCCAATAAAGCATTATGCCTCAAAGCATAGTCTCTACAGCTTGTGGTGATGCTCCTTCCACCCCCCCCCTCCTCAAGCATAGTGCCTCACAGTATGGTGAGTGTGAGTAAAGGTCATATTCATGAAGACGGCGAGGACGAATGAAAAGCCCTAGGTCCTGGACCCTCTACCATAACATGGAGGGGGAAGCAGAAAGTAGGGGGGGGGTAGGGGTAGGTGGGAGAAATGGTGAAGGGGGGAAAGGAGGTATGGGTAGGGAAGAAGTAAGAGGAGATACAGGTATAGAGAGAAGGCATGGGAGGAGACGTGAACAGGAAAGAAAAGAGGGGGTAGAGGTAGCATGGGCGGTAAACGGGAGGGGGTAGAAGAGGGGTATGGGCAGGGGGTCGCCAGGACAAAGATCACGGTATTCACTCGTAATGGTCCAAAAAAGGTCACCAGGGAAGCATTTTCCCTCCCCGCAGCAGGACCTTAAGGGGGGGTAACGGTGGATGCTCTCGCTCTGCTGCCTCCTTTGTCACAAGCCTTCCCTGCTGGGCCTCCTGCAGGAGCTCCCGGGCCGGGTATTACGTCTGGCAATATACGCTGGCTAGCGCGGCGGGCTGGCGGCGACGCTGCAGCAGGCGCCGGGAAGGAAAGTTACAGTGCGCTACGGTGCGGGAGGAGATCGTTGAGGGGAACAAAGGGGTCGTTAATTTGGCGCCCCCCAACATGGTCGACTGTCTGTAATGTAATATTAATGCACAGGCCAACGTCTCTCTATTCTGCTCTTTTCGTCTGTAAAACAGTCTCTTTTCAGTTTAGTATTCGTTCTTTTTCCTCTCATTGTTATTTCTCATAGCCACCCCGCAGTGAGTTCACAAATATTCCAAATCTATGGACCAATCTCAAGTGGGGAGGCACTTGAGACCAGCCAATCATATTAAGTGTTTCCGCCTCAGCTATTGATTGGTGGGATTTGACTTTGACGGCGCTTCGCGCGTTTTCATTGGTTCAACCCATCCCAAGCTCCGCCCCCGCAGGAAATTACGCGCGTTCAATGGCTCGCCAGTCCAATCGCTCCGCCCCCAGATGGCAAGATGTAAAGTTGAGCTTGGTTAGGAAAATGTCGGAAGGCTCAGAGTGCTCTCCAATCTCCACTCGCTATCAAGCCAGTGCTATCATATTACTGGAAGCCAGATCTAAGCTCATTTGCTGGTTCTCACACAGCATTAACTGTAACGAGCCCTCCAGTAAAAACCGGGAGAGCCACGTACTGCAAGACACCAGCAGCCGCAAGCTGCCTCCGCCGCGGGCTAGGAGAGCACAAGTGATCAGGTGCCAGGCTCTTGTGAGGACGCACTTTTATCCGTAGTGCCGCCAGTGTAACTCTTGACCTGAAGGTGACTCAAGAGTGCCATCGAGTCTGTGATCCATATCTTCGGCGCCAATGAGGAGGTGCGGCGCCCCCTCCTTGCAGGTGTCTCAGCATCGATTGACCCCAAGGTGACTCTTGACTTTTACAATACTGACGCTCCGTCAAGATCATTTCTTTTGTTACGCACCTCAGGGGACTCTTACTGTACGCGCTCCTTCGCGGTCTTGAGCACGACTTAGGCGCTACGCCGCCAGTGTTTACCGCTTGACCGACGATTGACACTGGCGCAGTTTTGTCGGTCAGGTTATTAAGACGCAACAATTATATTGTCGACTTGTTAAAGGGTTGTAGGAGAGAGAGCGTAGTGACGGGCGTGACCGTGCGGGCGGCGGCGAGTGTCACCTGAGGGCAACGAAGCGGTGAGGGCCATGGTGGGGCATTAGGTCATGAGCGGGAGCCCCAGGACGAACCAGCCCTTCTCCGTGACCTCCCTGCTCAGCCCTCTAGATACCCTGGCCTCTACTGTGGACGTTGCAGCAGCAGCAGCAGCCGCAGCAGCAGCAGCAGCAGGGCGGGGCTCCAGTGGCAGCAGCAGCACCAGCAGCAGCACTTTCGCTGCCTCAGGGATTGCCACTTCGGCCTCCGTCAACGACTTCGCCGCCGCCATGCAGAACCCCTACGGCATGAGCCCTATGGCGCACATGGCGCAGTTCGGGACGCATTCCACCTACCAGTACTGCAACACGGACCTCTCCCACTACGCTGCCCCAGCCTCCGCCTCCTGGTACGGCACCTCTACCTCCGACCCAAGATTCGCAAGTAAGTACTCACTCCGTCAGTTCACAAGTGTGCATGCCCTTATCAAAGTTATGCGCCACTCAGACGCTACGGCCTCTGAGTGCGATAACCAGTCAACTGTATAAACTGATATCTCTGTTCAGCGAGTCGCTCGAGAATAATCAGCGTATACACAACATGCCAAGAAATAATTACCCGCGCGAGGGAGGGAAAGCGTGATCTATGGCCTCGGGGTGGCGGGCAAATCGGAGCTTCATTTGCGTGTTCTCGAACGTGGAGACCAACGCAGTATTTTTGTTTTTTCATCGACTCTTTCATGTGTTTCAAAATATCTTCATTACCCAGATTTAGCTAGCGTCTAAGTCTATGATTAAGGCTGTTTTATATACAAGGGCTCCAACATGCTGCATTAAATTGCAAAGTCGAAATGTTAAAGTTATTCAGAGTAGATTGTATTAGTGTTTAATAGCTGTTGAAAAGGCTGAAGGGTCGATAAGGAAATTCTGGCATACTGTGAGTGACCATACTGTTGGTGACCATACTGTTGGTGACCATACTGTTGGTGAATATACTGTTGGTGACCATACTGTGTGACCATACTGTTGGTGACCATACTGTTGGTGACCATACTGTTGGTGACCATACTGTGAGTGACCATACTGTTGGTGACCATACTGTTGGTGACCATACTGTTGGTGACCATACTGTTGGTGACCATACTGTTGGTGACCATACTGTTGGTGACCATACTGTGAGTGACCATACTGTTGGTGACCATACTGTTGGTGACCATACTGTTGGTGACCATACTGTGAGTGACCATACTGTTGGTGACCATACTGTTGGTGACCATACTGTAAGTGACCATACTGTTGGTGACCATACTGTGAGTGACCATACTGTGAGTGACCATACTGTGAGTGACCATACTGTTGGTGACCATACTGTTGGTGACTATACTGTTGGTGACCATACTGTGAGTGACCATACTGTTGGTGACCATACTGTTGGTGACCATACTGTTGATGACCATACTGTGAGTGACCATACTGTTGGTGACCATACTGTGAGTGACCATACTGTTGGTGACCATACTGTGAGTGACCATACTGTTGGTGACCATACTGTTGGTGACCATACTGTTGGTGACCATACTGTGAGTGACCATACTGTTGGTGACCATACTGTTGGTGACCATACTGTTGGTGACCATACTGTTGGTGACCATACTGTTGGCTACCATACTGTTGGTGACCATACTGTGAGTGACCATACTGTGAGTGACCATACTGTTGGTGACCATACTGTTGGTGACTATACTGTTGGTGACCATACTGTGAGTGACCATACTGTTGGTGACCATACTGTGAGTGACCATACTGTTGGTGACCATACTGTTGGTGACCATACTGTGAGTGACCATACTGTTGGTGACCATACTGTTGGTGACCATACTGTTGGTGACCATACTGTGAGTGACCATACTGTGAGTGACCATACTGTTGGTGACCATACTGTTGGTGACCATACTGTGAGTGACCATACTGTGAGTGACCATACTGTTGGTGACCATACTGTTGGTGACCATACTGTTGGTGACCATACTGTTGGTGACCATACTGTAAGTGACCATACTGTTGGTGACCATACTGTTGGTGACCATACTGTTGGTGACCATACTGTTGGTGACCATACTGTTGGTGACCATACTGTTGGTGACCATACTGTTGGTGACCATACTGTTGGTGACCATACTGTTGGTGACCATACTGTTGGTGACCATACTGTTGGTTACCATACTGTTGGTGACCATACTGTTGGTGACCATACTGTTGGTGACCATACTGTTGGTGACCATACTGTTGGTGACCATACTGTTGGTGACCATACTGTTGGTGACCATACTGTTGGTGACCATACTGTAAGTGACCATACTGTAAGTGATCATACTGTGAGTGACCATACTGTTGGTGACCATACTGTTGGTGACCATACTGTGAGTGACCATACTGTGAGTGACCATACTGTTGGTTACCATACTGTTGGTGACCATACTGTTGGTGACCATACTGTTGGTGACCATACTGTTGGTGACCATACTGTTGGTGACCATACTGTTGGTGACCATACTGACCATACTGTGACCATACTGTTGGTGACCATACTGTAAGTGACCATACTGTTGGTGACCATACTGTTGGTGACCATACTGTTGGTGATCATACTGTTAGTGACCATACTGTTGGTGACCATACTGTTGGTGACCATACTGTTGGTGACCATACTGTGAGTGACCATACTGTTGGTGACCATACTGTTGGTTACCATACTGTTGGTGACCATACTGCTGGTGACCATACTGTTGGTGACCATACTGTTGGTGACCATACTGTTGGTGACCATACTGTTGGTGACCATACTGTTAGTGACCATACTGTTGGTGACCATACTGTTGGTGACCATACTGTTGGTGACCATACTGTAAGTGACCATACTGTTGGTGACCATACTGTTGGTGACCATACTGTGAGTGACCATACTGTGAGTGACCATACTGTTAGTGACCATACTGTTGGTGACCATACTGTGAGTGACCATACTGTGAGTGACCATACTGTTGGTGACCATACTGTTGGTGACTATACTGTTGGTGACCATACTGTTGGTGACCATACTGTGAGTGACCATACTGTTGGTGACCGTACTGTTGGTGACCATACTGTGAGTGACCATACTGTGAGTGACCATACTGTTGGTGACCATACTGTGCGTGACCATACTGTGAGTGACCAGACTGTGAGTGACCATACTGTTGCTGTTGGTCATAATTGTAGTAAACATGTTAAATACGGCTTAATTCCAATTTCCTTTCGAGAAGGTGTTTACGAAGGCAGTTATCTTGTGTTGATGGCTGTTGCTGTTGACTGTTGATGACTCTTGCTCTCTGGCGCCCAGATTAATGACTGATGATGCTAGTGACGACTGCAGCTAATACCGCCAGTACTACACCAACCTCCAACACTACCACCACCACCACCACTACCATTCCTACAACAAATATTATTACATCAACTACAGCTGTCAAATCTACTACCAGCAACTATGCCGTCTTGTAATGCTGGAGTTACTTATGCTACTATTGCGACTTCTGCGATACCAAATGTTACTAGTACTACTACTACCACCACCATCTACTGTCTCTACAAAATTTACTGCATCTTGTACCATCTACTGCATCTACTACCATCTACTGCCCCAACTACCATCTACTGCTTCAACTACCATCTACTGCCTCAACTAACATTTACTGCTCAACTACCATCTACTGCCTCTTGTACCATCTACTTATATCCCTACTGATGCCTATTTTATTACCAATATAAACACCAAAGACAATACAAGTAACAACAATAATAATTACAAGAACATTACAACTTCAACATTTCAAAATGTAGTCGACGAGTTGTTAATCACATACAACAGTATGTGATTAACTATACACTGAGGATTCTATATTTGTCATTACAAATATAGAATCCTCATCACTGCTATAGAGATATATCTATACAGACAAGACGAGGCTTTAGCTGCAGAACTTCAAAGTAAATTCCAGCTGATGACGTTTAAAGTAAAACAAAGTTTCCCTTTTTTACAATTATTATTCAAGATATGACTAATGTTAGTTATATTTTTTTACTGTTGTTGACAAGACCAGTTTGTCCTCTGGCTTGGTCCTTATTAGTGGAGACCTTATCTCTAGACCTTCTGTATAGTATTTACATTATTAAAGGAAAGTTGAATTTATTATTATTATTATAACTATTATTTTTATTTTATCATTATTATTATTATTATTATTATTATTATTATTATTATTATTATTTCATTAGTATCATTATCATTATTATTATTGTTATTAATATTATTATTATTTTCATAATTATTATTATCATTATTATTATTATCATTATTATTATTATTATCATTATTACTATTATTATCATTATTATTATTATTATTATTATTATTATTATTATTATTGCTCTTGCTGTCATAATATTAATGTAAACAAAAGTGGGTGACATGTGTTGAGAGCTGGGCATCATCTGGACGCTGTAAGGAGCAGCTCCCTAAAACTCACACATGAGATCGATCACTGAGTACTTGTCTCTCATCTGGGGTCCTCTCCACGATCTTATCTAAAGTTAGTTGACATACTATCCCGTGATAGGTTTATACATGTAGTAAATATCCAACTTGATCCATAATCACATATAGACTGAAAAAACTGTACAGACATTTGAAATGTGCGCTTTTCTGGGCTAACTTGAATCAGCGTTGAGGGCTGGACGGCGGCTGGCACAGGCAGGCGCAGGTTGGCGCAGGCAGGCGCGGTGTTCACGCCGACACCACAGTCTGGGGTTACCCTACACTCTGTCCTCTCATTTAATACGGAATCAGTCAGTCCGTAACAGTTTATGGGCTCACCATAGCCCGTGCTACATGGACATTTCGTTCTGAGTAGCTAAATCTAAAACAACAACGAGTAATAACTCAGTTACAGCCCCGCTCCTGTGCCAGGTAAGTCCACTACGGGCTCACCATAGCCCGTGCTACTTGGAACTTTTTTTATTTCTCAGTAGCTGAATCTTAAACAACAAACAACAGTCCGTAAAAATGTTACATATTAGTTAACACTCAAGCACTGTAATATTGATGTGTTCTATGCATCGGTCTCGATAGGTGAGGTGGGTTGCTCAGGTTGGCACGTCTCTGCTCGCTTCTCTGCTGGAAACAGTCGCATTTGCTACGGAGAGGCACACTGAGCGAGGCTCACCAGAGTGCTGCGACCTCTGCCCGCCAACAAAACAGTTTCGACGTTTGTACTAATCTAAATAGACAAAATTAATTTTGGCAACATGTTGGCTGCCATAATACGTCAAAGGAAGGTAAGGAAATGCTCGTGCCGTGTACGGGTGGTCAACAGGTGGAATGAAGTAAAAGCAGGAGTTGTGGAAGCT